AAGAATAACTGCGAAAACCATTAGTTAAATGCAAACATAGCCTTCATGTCTTATGCTGCCTTCACGTGTTGCTGTTGAATTTGTAAATAAAAAATGTTCAGGAAGAGGTCAAAGTCCAGTAGCTCAGGTCCAAGTGTTTCGTAACAGGTGTTGCGGTAACGACTTAAATCAGTCAAATCAAATACAAATGTTAATTTAAAAATATGTGTAATTTCAGTTTCAAGTAACAACATGACTGCTAATAATACATTTTTAAAAATGTGAAAATCTATTAGCTTTCCTAATGGAACTGATTTTTTCCAGATTTTTAAGCACTTGCTCTGGAAAATGCATCAAGAAGATGTAAAATCATTAGTAGAGGTTTTAAATTAATGTTCACAAACACCTCAGACCTGGCTACTGATGCCTAAAAAGAAATTTGTTGATGGAAAGCTTTAAAAAAAAAAATGCATGTTTGAAAGTTTTGAAACTAAGATTTCATGACAGCCTGATCAGCATTGCGTAGTACCACTGTTTTCAACTTGTCAGAATTTTGTGATCTGAACATGCAAAAAGCCCATAGAGCCTTCTTTACAGTATTTAGAACTGCTTTCATATGAACAGGGAAAAAGAATAACTGCGAAAACCATTAGTTAAATGCAAACATAGCCTTCATGTCTTATGCTGCCTTCACGTGCTATCAGAATTATCGTAAATACGAGTTTCCTTGGTAAACATTGCACATGAACACCCTCTGATGTCGTATTTACTACTGGGAAGTTCAGGAATAATTTTGATACCCAAATTCCCGAGATGGGTGGGCCATAAAGTTTAAACGTGGTGGATGGGAGAACAAAGACTGTGACAGGTATGATTTATTACGCTATTTTCCCACAACAGCTAGATTGTGTCGTCTTGTCATTGATGTAGTGCATATTTACATATACCACTAATCATTTGAAGTGTATTGTATGTTATATACACAGCGAAAATAGTCTGGATTTGACCGAAATTACAGAATCGTCAGCAAACCCCCCCCCCCCAACAAAAATC